CCGCTGCTACGTTACCTGAGAGAGGGGGAGCAAAAGGGAGGAGGAGGGACTTGATGGCTTTTCCACCAGTCCTCTGATTCCTTTGCAAAACACTAAATCTTGAAGTTTATTTTCTTTGCAGCATCTGTGTTTTATAAGGGCTCTTTTAATTTGTTTTCACTCCGTCCAGCGGGGGATCCCTCCTCCTTCTCACTCTTTTTTCTTCCCCCTTTGTGTCGGATTCTTTTTATTCCTCCCCGCGTTCATCTCTGTCTCTTCTCCTACCTCGCCTTTTGCCCTTTTGAAGTGAGTGTTTTAATAATGCTACTTTGGGAGCAACGGGAGAACAGCTTTTTCCTCCTGCATAGCAAGACTACAGCCCCCCCACACCCCCGTTCGTTGTTCTTCTCTCTCTCCCCTGCTTTAATCCCTCCCTCCTTTAACATGTCTGGGAAACTTGGACTATGACGGGGTGAATGTTGGAAAGTGGAGATGGACTGATAGAGCGCTGCCAATGTTGTTCAGTTACCAAAAAGCTATTTTAAGTAGCAGTCGTGACACTTTTAAAGGCTGGTGCCAATATAAAAAGATAAAAAAAGCAACATGTTTTAAAATCATCAATATTATTCAACAAAAAGGACCTCATATAAAAAGTAATAATAATTCAATCTAACAGTCCCCAATTTAAATCATAGAATACAAATTAAAAAAAACTCAATTTCAGGCTTCATCTATGCTTTAAATGATATTCAATTGTTTTATGTCTAAGTAGAACCAGTGTGAATTAAGCTCCAATGCAGTGAGGGATTGAAGAGTACTGAAATTAAAGAAAGGAGTATATTTTTTATTAATTTTTTATTAATGGAATTATTTGCAACGAGCATCGAGATCTTCTGTTGGTTAATAATGACGCTCCTGTAGAGGCATCTGTCTCATTATCAGAATAACTCAAAGGTCCTCACAGTAACTAAATGGCTGGAAATGAAGTGTTGGCTGTCAGTGTTCGAGTACACCTGTAGTTTCGCATTTTTTCTTCATGAAGGGACTTGAAATGTACGCGATAAGACGACTACTTGATGACTGTTTTGACAGCACTTTTTCCCAACACCTGTTTGTTGCAATAAGTCATTTTTCATTTGAACAATAGTGTGTGAACAACGTGTGGGAGTTCTCCGGACATCTTTCCACGGAAAAGTCATCTCACTGGCACAGAGAGTTGTGCCCCCCCTTACTGGCTGTGATTCCTAGTTGATGTTGTGTCTCTTTATGAAACGTCGTTTTGGTTTGAATGGTTTATGACCGAAAGGCTGCTGCGGGGATGTTTCCCTCTGACAGGAGTCCAGGGGTCTCGAGCTGGCGCTGCCTTCTAACAGCCAATCGGCATCTCCTGCTGCCTGTTAAAACCATCCGAAAACATCTTCTGAAGTCAAAACCATAAAGTATTCCCTCGCTGAGACATTTTTATTCCTGTCTTCGTACTCGGCCTCGCTCCCTGCTGCGGCTTACAGCCACGATATCACCCACAAGTCCCAGGTCTCTCTCTAATTCCCGCTGTGTCGCACAACATCTCACCTGCCTCACCCACTCCCCCTTTACTTTGACGGAAATATCCTCTCTGGCAAAACAATTCAAATAAGACACAGTGTCTGTGTGGACACACACAGTCTTCAGAGCTTGTCCTTTCGCACGTCGGCTCCTCATTGGAAGCCTCCGGCTTGTATTGGATGCAAATCGGGTATTAAGAGAGGGGAGAGAAACACGAGATAGCGTGACACGGAGCGGCTGAGGAGAGAGAAAGAGCGCGAAGGACAGAGAGCGAGAGGCTTAACGTGAGAAGAGAATGCAAATGCTGTTGAGACAGGGAGCGATGGGTGGACGGACGGATGGAAGGGAGCTGGATGGATGGTTGGATCAGGGGAGAAAGGGAGATGAGGGTCAGATGACAGTGTGACTTTTTGGCAGGGTTAGAGTTTTTCTCTGGACGACGGCGACGGAGCCGGATTTGCATTGATGGATCTTCTTTCCATGGGGATGTCATGTATCAGTGCTCGGGCACATCACGCCCCGGTCATTAATCAAATCACGGCCTCCGTCTGGAGCGATCCTCCTGCCAGGCGCGCCTCATCTGTCTCCCTCTCTCTTTGTAGTAGCCTCGCTCAGCTTTTTTTTTACTCCCTTGCTTCCTCTCCACCCTTTTTCCTACCAAGACGTCGTTTTAAGATTGGATTTAAGACAATTAGAAGCCAGATGCGACAGGTCCTTAAAGTTTCACTCCAACGCGGCATTTGAGACACGAAGCAAATGTGTTCCCTATTCTATATGAATGTAAGTGTCGACATAAAAACGCATGCACCCTCTTTTTGTGTGTTTGATGAAGCACAGTGTTTTCTTTGTAGGATGATGGACACATGCAGAGCCCTGATCTCCACTCTCGGCCAAATATGGTCATTGGCGCGCCCTTAATCACTCGTTTGCATATGTCTGCTCCACGACGCTCTATGAAAATACCAGCAAACGAGCACATTTTCACAGGATTGCTCTTGGGATTAGGCCTGTGCTCTCAGAACAGGAAGTGGCAGTGTGTATCCCCATGTCTGATTCATCCCCTTTAGATCTCTTTGACTGATTGACATTCAGATTATGGTTATGAACCATCTGTGTCTTCTTTTGTTTTTTTTCGCAGTCCAAACAGTCCTCTGACTGTCATTTTAGAATGCAGTATTGTTATTAAAGTTGTTTCAGAGTCAAACTGGAGCGATCGGCCATACTGAACTCACACAACTACACAAACGCAGCATGCCGTCTGTCTCGCAGCCATCCGAGCTTTCTTCCCACGTATCGTCTCCTCCCGGTGCGTGACCTCTACCGCGCTTCACATCAACTTGTCTCCCCTGTCTTCACCGGGGGGGGGGTGACAGCACGGTATGCCTGTCAGCCCCCACCCCCCCCTCTTTACGTCTCTGTCCAGTTACACCTGTTCTACAACCCACAAGCTTTTTAAGGGGGGGGGGGGCACCGCTGATAATGCAGCAGAGCAAAAGTGAAATGTCCATCTTGAATGAGGATGCTAAAGCTATCGACACCCCCACCCCCAATCCTCACCCTCCCCTCTTAGTTGAAGCACCATTATGGCTTTTCAGGCTGCTTCCTGCGCAGGTCCCCCTCACCCCCCTGGTCCGTCCTGTCCCCCCCAGCACAAAAGGTCGCCGCGCAGGCTCACGGGGTGTAGCACTTCTGAAAAGCGAGGGGCTTTCAGAAGCTGCCCCGGTACAGACCTCTGTTAGTCTTACCAAGAGAGGAGCAGAAGGGAATGAAGGACAGGTTTGTGTAATGGTTTCCTCTCCAACCCCCCCACCCCTCTCAGAAGGTTACGCGGCATTGTTGGCCAGCGGAGGTCTAAAAGACAGCCCTTCGGAGGACCACAAAGCGAAGGTTTGGCAGGACTAATGAAACTCAGAGGTCCACATAAATGATCTAAAAGGCCGGACCAAAACACTCAGCGGTCCCTTTCCGCTCGCATTCAGCCTCGTCTTGATCGCTCCCTCCCAATAATGACAAGGCACTCTCCTCCTCTACCTTTATTGTGACCTTTGATGTGGGCCTTATTTCCTTTGTCTCCGTGTGCCCCCCGCCCTCCTTTTCATTCCTTTGTGTTACGCAGCTGTCACTCATCTATTAAGGTAACAAATGGAACAAGGGGAACATTCAGTGAGCGTATTGTGGTGTACCCACAGGTTGGCTCTTTATTTCTTTTGAAAGCACTTGAACTTGGAATTTTCCTTGGCCTGCCCAACAGGGTACACGGAATTGCATGGACATAATTGTTTGTTAATCCGCAGTCCTCCGCTCACTACAGTGCAATGTTTCTATGTGACTGTTTTATTCCCCATTGTACTATAATGTGAGAAATTGTGGATTTGAAAAAGTATCACATTTCTTCCTCGGTAGAAACAAAGTATAGTATTGAAAGTTTCCTCCCCAACTCTTTGCTGACTGTTGTTGACACATAGCAAAAATGTCCAGCTTCACCTGCCAAAGATGATCTTTGCGAGTCTCGTAAACATATAGCGTTGAAATGTGTCGTCTCCAGTGAGCCGGAGGCCGACTGAACGTGCTAAGTGAGCTGGAGTCTCCTGGCGTCCTGCTTCAGTTCATTAGGTCCTTAAGAAGCCCTTTGACATGCTCTGATTAGGTCTGGCTGGGGCTGCATGGGATATGTGAGATGGGATGCGTTTCCTTGGATCATCTGTTTGTGTGTGTGTGCGGGTTTTGAAGCAGTGTGTAGGGCCTGTTGATTGGCCTTGATTAACAGACCACGACTACAAGGCACTAGTAAAGCAAAGGCATTTATAATATAGCATCTTGAGCTGGTTATTTCCAATGATTCCGCAGGAGGCCATGAACCTGAGAGAGAGGGAGAGATGCTGTATAAAGTGCTTAAATCCGTGAACAGGCCACGACCAGGTGCTCCTTGCAAGATTTGACATGACAGGAGTGAAACGAATAATGAGAAGAGTTGTCCAAGAGCCGAGGAGCACTCGTGGAATGAATCAAGCGCTACAGCCCATATGCACACTCACCACGCAAGACTCCATTATTGAAGAAAAGTCTAAAGTGTGCTGCACAACATTTAGACAACATTCAACATTAAGATTCAACATTTGGAGACTGTTTGTGAACGTGCCAAATCCCGCATGAGCAATGCCTGCGCCTAGTTTGTCCACGAAGCCCTCATTACCAACAAAGGCTTTTGGATGAAGTATGAAATAAGTTTCAGTAAGCATGTTCAATACTTTTTTCCCAGTGTCATTCCATTTTCTTTTCAGAGCTTATTTGTTTGGATTTCATGAAAATTTCATGTCAATAGCAACTTTTAGAAATCTATCTACTGAGAAAGACGGTGACGTGTTTCTCAATACTTTTTTACCCCTTGTATGTATGTATATAAATCTCCATTATGTTATGTTCCACTTCACATCATTTCTCTGACCTTGCTGTCCTGCATATTTCTGTGTGTCCAGCCAAGCTGAGCAGCCAGGATTCATACAACAACTTCACCAACAACAACATGGGGAACCCGCGGCTCTCGGCTCTGCCCAGCCTCACCGTGGTGCTGCCTCTGGCCCAGATCAAGCAGCCCATGACCCTGGGCACCATCACCAAACGCTCCGGGTAGCTAGCGCGCTCACACACACACACACACACACACGCTAGCCTTAGCTTTGGTTCTCCACAGGACGTCCAGACTTCCACGATAAAAATATGATAGGACTACATATGTAACATGAATTACCCAGAATTCTCCTCTCTCATGTCTCTGAATCGGAACGCGAAGAAAGTTCTTAATAAATTGCAGCAAAGGGAGGCCGTGATTAATAACGGCAAAACTAAGATTATAAAGGTTTTTTTTTAATGTTTTTATGTTTAATGTATTGTCAATGATTCATTGTTTTTTCATATATATATCGGTCTAATTTTTATCAAGGTAGACACTATTAAAGCGTTTGCAGCCTGAGAGAAGGTTTAGAAACGCACAACATACAAGAATAGATTGTTTAACAGTGTTTTCATCAAACTAGCACCTCAGGAAAGTCGATTTATCAGTTTCATGATGGTATTATGATTTCTGAATAGTTTCACAACCTGTTTTGTTCAAACTAAGTGTTTATGCTTTCTTCACTATAAAACGTTTAAAAATAGGAATCTTATTATTTCTGACTGTTCTTATATCTTCTTAAGACTACATTTAATTTTTAAATAATTTCCCCCACTCAGTTTATTAACTGCCTCCTAGTGATAGATATAAATTGTTCCCTTATTTCTTCATTTGATGAGAGATTAAAAAAAAAAATATATATATATATATCATCAATCATTTTACCCCATGTAACCTCTGTGCGGGATGCTCTATATTTTACAAGGAACTAGGAAAAGTCACTTATATATTTATAAATACATTTTACTCATGTTGTTGTCATTGTGGACCTTTTCAAGAAGATCTCCCTTTTGTAAAGGAATCCAGGTACAACGCGCCACAGAATCATCCATTTAAAGCCTTCAAATGTGTAAAAGGGTTATTGGCAACCTCACAAACTCTTCTATCTTTACAGTTTGGCCACTGTTAAGGAACATTTAAATCCCACTGTATTACATCGTAAACCTCAGTCTGTGATTCGCTGTCTTTTTCCATTAATCACATTGTAAAAACAGTGTATTGTGTCAACAGTAGCCGAGTGGAGGCCAAAGCTTCTCTCTCCCCCCCAGCTGATGCTCATGGACTCCTTTTGTCTCAACCCACCACTTTTTTTGCATAGGGTAATGAAGCAGAACACACATGCGGACTTGGTCTGTGGGCTGTTTGAAAAGCAGATAAAACACATCATGCATACCCAGAATAGAAATAAGAACCCTAAAATCATATTCAAGGCGTATTAAATGCAGTGTAACCCTGTTAGCTCGCTCTTTTTCTTTTTCACTTGGACCTTTGCCATGCATTGAAATTATGTAGTTTTAAGACCATTGGCTTTGCTAAGTGCATTTACATGCAGTACAGGTGGCTCCACAAATAGGGGAGATTTTAATATTTTCATTTAAATGTAATTTTCATGCCCTGTTTGAATGGTAAATGATGATTCCAACAGACGGCGAGGGATTTTATTCCCCGTGATATTTGATAACTGAGCTTTGAAGATGAAAATAGAGACCTGATCGTTCAACGTGGAACAGGTCACGCCATATTCCAAATCATTAATGTGACTTGATTTGGTTTATGAGATTGCTTATGGCCTCTGCAGTGCCGTGCTTCAGTGTATTTATTATGACCGCCTGATAATGATGGTTTGCATTTTGTTCAACAGCTGTAATGTTTAACGTTCAATTAATTTGTTTTTTAAAGGTTATTATGTCCCAATTTACCTTCAATGAGAAGCGTCAGGTTACTTGTGTTTATTTATAATAGTTGTTATGCTCATTAGAGATTAGCTTATTTTTCAATTTTTTTTTTAAATCTAAAGGTTGAGTTGTTGTATTTGTTATTTACTATGGTGTTTTTATAACCTCCATTCTTTTTTAAATTAATTTTAAAATGTTTTCACTTATCTTTGCTTTTTAATTTTTTTGGACTGATAGCGAATTATTTTATTAATATGATTTGAATTATTATATATTATTGCATTATTTGGCAGTAAGTTTTCACTGCTGTGTAGTTTCATTATACAGCGTCTATCTTTGGTGGTGAGCAGCCTTTTTAATTTAGATATTTTCTACATGTTCTCTAAATATTCTATGCTGATTTGATATCTATCTATTTAATTGTTACTGACATTGACGTTTAATGGTTTACAGGGAACCTTTTTATACTAGTGGCAGTAGGATACTAAAAACCAGTTGATAAGAAAACCATACATTTGTTATTAGATTCATTTTAAAATTTACAAACAAAAGCCATTAGCTAAATGAATTCTGAAATTGACAGATTGTTGTTCTTGAATCAGGAACCATCTAATTAAATAGCATTAAGCTGATGAGACATTTGACCTTCATCATTTGATGAAGTTACACGGTGACACAAACATTGTGGTCAGTTAGTAATATAGGCGACACCTTTTTATGATTTTTATCACCTTAATTATTGCAGGAAAGGGGGAAAATAGAGGTACATGACACAATAAAGGGCTGCTTTACAGGATAAACTTAAAAAGATATATAATAAATATCAGAGGCTGTGCCTACTCATCTATCCATTCATCTATCTATTGATCTATTTATTGATATAGCTATCTATCTATAATGTATTTCTACAGACCACATGTACAGCTGAAAGTAGGTGAAAATCAATCCTATAGAGGAGAAGAGAAGAAGAACAATTCGTAATCTTTTATGAATCCTTCCTCCTTAGGTGGATTTTTCGTTCAGTTTCATAGTGGGGAAAAGATTTAGTGTCTTTTAGTGTCTTCGATTAAGGCCACATTTATTGCACGGCAGACATGAACATTTATATACGATCAAACTACTTAGAATTTAGAAAGTTATTCAAATTACTTTCCAAAAACAGCCACTCCCTGCTGTTTTAATAAATGTCACTCAAATGAGACAAAATAGTGTATGTGTAGGGAAATCTATTTCCCCAGTAGGTGCTCTATTAAGCCTAGTTTATGCTTCTGCATTTTCAGAGAGACGCAAGGTGCCTTTTCCCCCCTTCCTTGCGTGCGTCAACCTATTTTTCTAAACTAGCGTCAAAAGCTACGCAAGCCTCTCGCAGCCTCCAAGACGATTGGTCTGCCAACTACATCCTCTAAGGAGTCTCACATTTCTGTTTTCGTAGCCCGATACCGCCATTATTAAAACAAAGAAGGTTTACGAGAGAACGGATCAGATTGAAGAACATTTGTCGGAAGAAATCCGTAAATATTCTTCTTATCTATTGTTCTACAACCCGTCATTGGCGGACTATAAGGACACTCTGATTCATGGAGGGAGATCTCCACAAACGCCAGTTTGCCGGGCGAGGGGAGGAAAGTTGTGGAGGAAAATACGGGACAAATGTGTCCGCGATGAAAAGCAGCAGTGGCGATGCACGGGGCAATAAAGTCTATGATAAATAAATAAACAAACCAACGACTTCCACAATCATTTTTGGTGTTAAGCCACGTCCTTTCACGCTATCAATTTGTCAGAGCTACGTTACCATTGAGACCACAATGCTGATATCTGCACTCAGCAAATAAATATGCACTTATATTTGGTAAGAAACAAAGACGATTAGGGCACAGAAATGGCCTTTCTGTGTGGAGTCTGCATGTTCTCCCCGTGTCTGCGTGGGTTCTCTCCGGGTTCTCCGGCTTCCTCCCACAGTCCAAAGACATGCTCTGGGGATCAGGTTAATTGGGGACTTTAAATTGCCCGTAGGTGTGTGAATGTGAGTGTGAATGGTTGTATGTCTCTGTGTAGCCCTGCGATTGGCTGGCGACCAATCCAGGATGTACCCTGTCTATCGCCCGAAGTTGGCTGGAATAGACTCCAGCCCCCCCACAACCCTGTGTGCAGGATAAGTGGTTTTACACAACCTTTTTCCATGGCTAGGTCCAAATGCCCTGAAGCAGCCTGAACATGAAAGACATCTGAAGGAGTTCGGTATTAGATTGTCTAACCCTGTTCGAAACTGGCTAATGCTGTTATGATGTGCCTTTCTTCGTGGTGGGCTTCACACGTATTTGGATGACATAAAAAACAGTATCGAGCGTCATCCCATTTCTTTGCCTAAGGACTCTGTAAATATGCCACATTTCTCCCATTGTTCCCAGTGAAACACCTCAGACTGTTCTGTATCATCAGGCCTGCTATGGGCCAGCGGACGCCTCAGTATAAATGCATCAGGACATGCAGCTGTGCGGTCGGCTCCTTTGTGCACGAGGAGGCACGCTGCTGCATCAGACACACACACACACACTGATTGAAGCAACAGGTTTGGCCCCTAGAGTTGGGGGGTGATATCATATGCTTTCACTCTATACTTGCACAGGAGTAGCCGGGCACCATCTGCCCAGTCGGTGCAGCCAGCCCCCGCCCTTTATGCACGTAGTGCGTTGCGGGTGTGTGTGTGTGTGTGCCAGTGAGAGCGTCCAGCAGCTGTATTTACACCTGTATGGGCAGATCCCTGTTGGCAGGACGGCAGAGGAACACACCAGCTGCTTAACCTACATTCCCTACCAGGCTGTCTTTGTGTGCACCGGGCCGTGTGACACACACACACACGCACGCTCACAGACAGATAGCCACGTTGGTGAGGCTTGCACCCCCTTTGTGGGATCTTGGGTTCTCTTGGGGGGGGTTGCCGTCATAGACCCCGGCATGGCCACAGACCACTAATGTGCAAAATGCTGCTGTTTTATCTTCGGATTGACTCACATTTTTAACATCAAAGAAAACCTCAACAAGTTCAAGACCCCTCCTCTGTTAACTTGGATTTTGGTGTCCTCCCCATGTCGAAGGGAGTTAGAGTCGGATGTGGCCATGCATCCGCCTGATAACCCCCCACCCCTCCAGACGGGTTCAGGTCAGGGAGTGGAGGAACACAGCCAAGCTTCTGCTAGTCCTCACATCTTCTCCTTACAGTCTCCTGAGCAAGAATAGGGGGGTCTCTTCTCACTCATTCTCTGGTTTCCCCTCAGCCCCATTTTGCCCCCGATGAATTAAATCCCAAAGACAAAAAACACATTTGCTCAAAAAAAATCTGAAGATTCTCGCTCGGTAAAATGTCACAGTTGGAACTTAATCCGTGAAAAGGATTAACAGAGAATTATTCAAACAGCCAGCGCCAAGGAAAGTCCACTTGTTCGGAGTAGTACGAGGATTTAACTTGTCAAAATGCCCGAGAGTGATACATTTGGGATTTGTGGGCAGGCAAACTATTGCACACTTATCCCATCTACACACTGTCTGACTTTAATACAGACAAATGAAAATCCAAATGGAAAGATTGTCACACACTTAACACAACACCCCCCTACGAGCAAATCCCGCTCATGACATTTCCAAGCAAGTGCAGACGAGGTAACGAGACAACAGCCAGCGGATAGATGAGACCCTTTGAGCCGCTGCAGATGTGCCCTCAGATTACTTTAATACCTATGCGTGTATGCGTGAGCCAGCCCAGTGCTCTGCCATTGTCTTACAGAGCCGCGGCGAGGGGAGGGGCTTTAAGAATGCCAATGCCGACGTGACATGGCGGCGAAACTAAACCGCTGGCACAAATCACCTCGCTTCCCTCCTGCTTTAGTGGCCCAGGCAGAGCCGCTATTAGGGCCAACGGGTTAAGAGATGTTACAGGTTGACACCCCCCCGCCTCCTTCATCTTTCCCTGCCTCTTCTGAGTAACACACACACTCACAGTCTCGGGGCCCTTTTACGCCACTGAACCATGTTTAACTCGTGTTTTCAAACATGCCTCTGACCTGTGTGGGATTGTTCTCCCTCAAACCTGCTGGATCAGGCAGTGTGTCACATAACTGACCCTTTCTACTCTGTGGTTACAGCTCGACATGCTGGACAATTATCCTAACTGGATCCTTTCCTTTGCTTTTATTCTTAGCATTGTGCGATTAGACGTTTTGCCTTGACACTAAAGATTAAATGATATGCGTTTCAATATAATAACACATATATGTAGTTTGCGCAGTTATTACATTTCAAGCTCAACTTTTATTTCCCTCGGATATTGTTTGTTTCACTGAAGTGAGCCTAGCTGGTTGCCGTTGGCAGGTGGGTCAAACAAACACAGGACTTTAGTTGTGTCCCGTGTGAACCCACTCAGCGTCGACTATTTCAATGTGTAACTAGAGAATGACTCGCTTTTTGGGGCCAGCATCAAGTGGCCATTAGAAGAATTTTTTCCTTGCGCCTTAGCTTCATTTTTCAAATCCATCAGTTCAAAAATCTTTTTTAAAGGCACAAAGAGTTAAGGTTTTTATGTGGGAAAGTAGCATTTTTGTTAAGAAAGGTGACCGTTTTTCTCCAACTACTGCCATTGATTCTCATTACTCCATTAGCCACCAACAATACATTCCACCAACAATAAGTTCCAAGGAAGTAGGATGTATACATTCAAAGTGGCATCTTGTTAACCCCAAAGCTTACTTGGCCTCTGCTCCCCCCATGGAGAGCTCGCACCATTTGTCCATCACTCTCCCATTGGAGTCCATCCATTTACTCAGCTGGAGACCCAGAGGGTGGGCTCACTGTGTTCGATAGGCTCAGTGGAGACCGTCCCACCCCCCTCTGCAACTCTCTGATAAGTGGCAGATTACCAGGGGCCTCCATTACACCAACCAGCATGTTCATTTCTCAACTAGCGCTCCAGGAGTAAGACATTCAGGGGCGAACTGTTGCTCCCTGTCTCCCAGAGGAACATCTTTCTACACGTCCATGTACCAAGACTAATTGAAGACTGTGTGCTATCGTAAGGAGGGCCCGGGCGGATGCAGCGAAAGCGATAAAATAAAGAAGTGCTGCAGAGTGCTTTGGTTGGCTGGAGATTCTGTTTTTCATGACTGGGGGGGTGGCGGGGGTGGGGGCCGGCGGGGACAGAGTTCAGTCTCATCGGACCTTTATTGCTGTAGGGAAAAGGCTTATTTACTGTAAACTGTTTACGGAGCTCTGTCACTATCTCTGGACATGCAGAATAAACACAGGAACACACTCCCACTCCTAATGTCTTGTAAACACGAGAAACACGCACAGACTGACAGACAGACAGATACACACACACACACTTTGTACTTGTTAACATAATCACAGTACACACATTGGCCCACACACACATTCAAAAGACAATGCATGGCCATAAATACACACTCTTGCTAAAAAAAGAAGTGCATGCAAACACACAGCGTCTTGTCCTAACAATGCCTGAGTGCTGTTAGTTTTATTGGTGTCCCCAGTTGTTATGGAACTTGGATCAACTCCTCATTCTTAAACTTTCTTAATCTCAACAATCAGAACTGTTTCCCATCATTTCCCTGTATCATAATTAAAGGGTTGGATTCAGACCTACATGTACCCAATCCCTTTAAAGTTAAAGGAGACATATGTCCGAGGGGAAAAAAAAGTCTGTGGACATGCTGCATCTGCCAAATATATGGTATCACACTTTACCGAGCAGCTTGAACAGATGAATCATCAAGCCGTCACGCAGGTTTTCAAATCCATCTCAGCGCACAGACATTCTGCTTCCTGCCTCGTACGTGTTGTGCACTTAAACAGACACGTCAGAAAGTATGTCATGTGAAAAGTGTGTTTGCTCAAGTATGCTAGTTTTAATAATGGTTTTTCCGTCCATCTCTGTACCCCACCCCCTATCGCCCTCCTCCCCCCTCACCATCTCTCACGAAGACCCTACCTCTTTGGGGCGGGATGTTTTGCCATTAAAACTCCATGGTGAGTTTTGCTCTTCCCCTCCTCGTCTCCCAGCATGCAACTGTATACGGCACACCTCTCATGGTCTCCTGGTACATATTTTCAACACATTCTGCAGCCTGTGCAGTCACTCCTCAAAGCTGAAAAATACCAAAGAGGATGTTTTTTTTTCAATCTTTTTATATTCCCTTTATGTCCTTTTTTGCAAATTTTCTGTGTATGTTGAACTTTATTAGGGTGATTCAATATGTTGTGTTAAAGCCTCTATGGTAGTGAAGCAAACAAAGAATTTATGGTTTTACATTTTATCACCTGAACGAACAAATGCTGCCAATATAAAAGTGAATGCTTCAGGTCGGTCAAGGAGACATATTGTAGGGCTTTAGGGAAATGCAATAGCACTCCTTGGCTGCTTGTCATTTGTCTTTTTCTTTCTCTGTTTTGACCAGTGGCTCCTAAACTGGGAGGGAAACGTCATCATCAACCCACACACACACTGACACACCGGTAAAAAAATATAAAATAAAATGATAACAAATGTGTTCCAACCACCAGAGCAGCTCGTGTTACAGAGACAGAGGTTTAGACCCCACTTGAAGTCATTCCAAGAATAAAGCTTCTGTGCGAAGCACACTGTTTAATTTGTTGTGCGCACACAGTAATTGTTTCTTGGTTTATTCTGGTAATATTTTTAACCGTGTCTAAAAGTGGAAGTGAGAATGATCTGCAACTTGTCTGGCAAAGGACTAAAGCTTTTTTTTAACTGAATCATTTCCTTTAAAGCTCCACTAATTATTAACTTATTGTAGTAAGGATGGATGAAATCACTATGTTTAATGTTTTGGTGATGTAGCCCTCCACTTTACTGGTTTTGTCCCCTGTCATCTCATCCACCTTGTTTCCAGCCTCAGACAACTGTGTTCAGCGAAAAAAACTGATTAACTCTAATGTAAACTCTAGTAACCCAAATATTGAGAAATGACTTCCTAAAGATGTCAGACATTGGAGTTGCTGCCCACATCTCCAAAGTAAAAAAAAAACTAATGTGGTAATTTTGCCAAAACTCAATTGAGCCAATCAGTGCATTTAGAGGCGGGACTCAGAATGGAAAAGTCATGTAAGCAAAGAAATGGCCCATAAAAGTTCTTACCACAAGGAACTTTTAAATGTTACAAAACTGTCTCCTTTTAATAATACTACTGTTATGTTCCTATATCAGTACAATAGGGCCATCCGTGAGAAGATAGTATTTTTAATGCCTGTCATCGGGGCCACCGGGTCCATGTCGGAAATTCAGAACAGGTTGTGCAGAATCTCCTTCAGCTCAGACCTTAACAGGGCTTCTGACGACCGGCCCTCTGCACAGACCCACATCCGGCAGGGCGAAAGGTTTAACACAATTTTAACGCTAATAATAACGAAATCGCTACTTTCCCCCTTTCATTTTGAGTTCAATTTTGTCTTTTAATGCCCTTCACTGGGATAGAAATGAGGACACAGCATCTTCCTATTGGCTGCGGCCAAGTCTCTTTTCAACGCCGTCTCATGAAATCAGATGCTGACAAGCTTTTAGAAGAAGCCGCATTATGATAGACTCACTTATGGAGAGATGACTGAGTGGCTCAGTGACTGAACTTTTCCCTTCCCGGTTCTCTGCTCTCCACCTCCTCCCTGCTGACTTCATTCACTTTAGAAAATGAATAGCATGTGGTGACTTCCCCAAGTCTTGGGTTTCGTCTTTTGTTGTGGCCAGTCACTCATACTTTTTAATTTGAGCTCTTTTTTTTTCTTTCTGTCTTCATCCACCTCCCGCTTAATCTAGGCCCTTAGTGATTTCAGAGCGTATACTTTTCAAAGGTACACATCATTAGCGCCGGAGTCTCGACATTTCAGCTCGTTAGACCCATATTGTTTCTCTAATAGTGTATGTCTTGAGACATGAGCGATGACTGCATTTGCCAATATCTGCTTACCTCAGGTTCAGCCTCGTTTTATTTCCTTCTCTAGGCTCTGTGGACTTTATCACGACTCCTCACATTTCCATTTCATGTTCTAAGAATGTATATTATATGTAAGGGATTTGACCAAATATCTGAAATCTCACTAAATGTATTTAATATTATTTTTACAGTCCGACTGCAAAGAATAATTAATACACGTATGTCTAGTACGGCACACGTACAGAACAGGGAAAATGAAGAGGTAATTGAAAATAGTTCCAGTTTCCACGGTAATGGCCCCTCTCCAATGTTCACTGCGTCTCCCCAGAGGTTGTCATTAGTGCTGTGTGTTGGACACAGCCCCAAGGCTGCCTCTTTTCCAAGGGCTGTTGTAAAATAATAAATGTGACGTTGAAGGATGTGTCCTCCACATGACTGCTCTCTCTCTCCCCCTCTCTTCCTTCCCGGTTGAATTCTTAATACCACCTCCTTTTCCTATATGAATGAACCATATTGCCCAGAATCAGCACAACTACATCTGAACTGCTCTTTTATCACCGGATAGTCAGCTCAAGTGAGCTCTATCGTATTTGTTTACTGCGAAGGCCCTGAAAATACATGGAAGCTGCCACCAGACTTCCATCCCCCCTCAGAGGCGCCTTGTGTTTGCCCCGGGCGTAGTAATGCGAAGGGACTTTGATGGTTGATGTCGGAGATTGGATTATGCCCTTGAGGAAAAGCTATTAGCTCAGAAAAGAGTCCTCATTTGTTAAATTAAAAGTGGAAATGACATGAGTAGTCTTCAGTGGATTAAAGTTGCAAAAAGAAAATGGATTCCTATTCCTCCCAAAGGGCAATAGTAGCAAACACAATGTGGTGCAGGGAAAACAAATAAATATGATCTTATATTTGTTTAGTAACCCCCACAACAAGACAACCTTTTATTTTATTTAAGTTTCAGAACGTACTAATGTTGGCTAGTGTTTTGTAACCAACGTACCACCCCCCAATGGTCCATTCCAGAAACCGCTATCTGTCCTACATATGGAGAGCAGAACAAAGCCCCTTCCTTCTTTAGTGAGGGCCGGAACCTCAACACCTTTAAGCCACTTCAAGTGAGATCAAGAGGAAAAGGATGATTTAAAGCGCAGGTGGTTGCTGAACCCAGAGGAGACGAGAACCGAGCTGTGATCTTTGGTCCTGTGGGCAGGCACACCACTGGCTGAGGCCTCTTCAAAGACGCCATGAGACCCCAATGTTATAGCTCGCTACCAGACTTACATGTAGGAGTTTGTTATAGTATATATACAGTGACAACCCTGGGGAAGTTGAGGCCAGACACAGAGATAAAAGATAAGTCATTATTTCGGTAAAACAAAAAGTGTCCTAATAAAGAGGTCAAGGTGCTTAGGCCAACTTTAAGCCAAAGGTTCCTCCTGCTTTGGGTCTCTGTGAATATATACTCGCTCACTCTAATTAGCTTATAGGCTGCGTGTGTATTCTTCCCCCTGGTTTGCCACAATAAGAGGTGTGCGAGGTCATGCTACTGATGGCTCAATAAAATAACCTGTAATTTGCCTTTTCCTATCTTTAGCATTACATTTTTTCCTTTTAGTTTGCCTATAGTCCAGGATTGTTGAGATTTAAAGGCAGAAAGGAGGGGATATTTTAGTGAAAAACTAGTGGAAAAAGTTCCTCATAGCTAGCAGATTAACTGGACCTGTTTGTCAAATGCTTCATCTCCTGAATGCACATACAAACGAATAGGCCCGAGGAAGAGAAGGCAAAGGCAAAGACTTAGCCAACGCAATATCCTGAATGGGACTTTATCTCCCCTTCCATCTTTCTCTCACAGACTGGGCTTACTGTGGATATTTGGTTATTCAGCCTTCTACCCTTGACCCAGCACTAATAAATACAAACTACAAAACGTGTATAAAGGCCTTTCTTATGACTACCTTCATCGCTTCCGATTTCCTGATCCCTCTTTCTCATGGTGCTGGCCAAACAAAGACTTCAACATCTTGCATCCAGGGAGTAATTTATAAGGCGCTGACAGTCTGAAAGTGAGGAGTTGTTTTATGATTAGTTGGACTATTGGCTACTATTTGCTACCACTGCAAGCAATGCTATTGAGCTGTATGTCCTATTGACTTTATTTGTTTAGAAATACCATCAGCTTTTCTCTGAGATTTATACATTTTTTTTGTCCAATTTCTTTTTGGTGGCAACCAAATACGGGCTGCCGATCTTCCACTCTACAAGCCGAACTGTGGGATAAGATCAAAAATGACATAATTAACACTTATGTAACAAATTCCAATAACCAGCTTCTGATTCAACTCATTTGAACATTTATAAAGTTGTTTTTTGATTCCAAAAACCTTTTCTTTCACAAAAAAAAGAAAAGACATGAAGAGTTCACCCACATTTTTCAAAAGGAGCATGACTTAAGTTGACAAATATTAGCATATAACTTTGACCCTAGATGTCCACATCAACACCTGTAGGCCATGTATGCTTTATATTTGAACGGCATACAATTTAATTGATTTCCCATTCGCTGAGACTACAGCAAACCCTTTTACTAGTACTTACAGTGATCAGTTCAAGCCAAGTTTTGGCTGGCTAGTTGTCACAGACGCTGTATTTATTAGTTTAGTGCAGAGGACATGAACATTTTATCAATAGATCACATCAACCTCGTTTTAACCTCCCTCCCCATCCCGTGTGTCGGCTCATCAAAACGTTCCCAAAGCCACACTGCTGACACACGGCACAGAAATGTGTAGGTGGGTCCTAAGCTGTATAATGTCTGGCAAAATCCTGGACCAAACAGAAAATGTGAAGCTCTAACTTAGTTTATTCTTTTTTTTTGTGAGTGTAGACAGCAGTGAGTGTGTTGCTTCCACGCCAGTGTGGCTACCAAAGGTCAAGATTAAGCATCCCTCTGGGAGTGTGTGACACCATCGTGAGTCTTCAAGTTTTTGAAGTGCACCTAATGCCTGGTCTACTGTGATCATGTTCTACTGTCCAGATTGGTTATAAGGCTGGACAATAACACCAGACCCAGCTACCGTTCTCTGATGGTTAACATATGGGCAGTAGTACTACAGCTGAAAAGCCTTACTATGTCCGTTTATACTCAAATAGACATCAGAATAATCCCGTAACTCTCAATAACAGCATTCAATGCCGCCAGGGGAGGCAGTAGACATGGAGTCATACCTACTATATGTTAACATTTAAGCTCTAACTTAATAAATGTAACAACATGGCAGTGGCTGTGGGAACATTATGACTAGCATGGCTGGCCAACCAATTGTACCAATGGAAGCCAAATGGTTCAGGTTTTTTTTCTTTAACACTACTATATTTTGGGGTATAGTTGTAGTTTAAGTGCACGTTAACGATAGCAGAGCAACAAAACAGTACCAGTTTTGCCGTTAAAAAAACGAAATTGTCTTCTTCAACTTGCACTCGTTCATGCTGTCATTTTCAGACAGGAAGTTACATAGAAGTCAGAATGATTTGTATAGAGTGGATAGTTGAGCAGGTGGGCATTGATTTGATGCCCACAGAACTGATTTGTTTTTTTTCAGAAGATTTTGTAAATTAACTGAGCAAAATTACTTTTCTCGCTTCCAAATTTCTTGTTATACTTTTGGAAATCATTGGTTCTTCTAAGAGTATAGTTATAGTCATCATTAATTGAACAAACACAGATGTTGGTGTCAATGGTGGTAAATATGTCATATAGCTGTGTGCCACTTTTGGAGAGACAGTCGTTACCTTGTTTATAGGAAATGCTTTTTTAACTGTGACGAAACATTAATCTGATATAATAATGGACTCCACAATTTCTTTCTCAATCGTTTCATTTGGTCACAGGATTCAAATCCCTCAATCACAAGTCGTTTGGTTGTGATATATTAAAGTGTTCAAACAGCACACCTTTGAGACCAGACTCTGTGGTACAGTTTGTAACTTGTGTCAATGGTGTTCTATTTTCCCTCCTAAAGCAAAGCTAAGCCCCCACCTCAGATCTCCCCAAGCAAGTCCAGTGGAGGAGAGTTCTGTGTGGCCGCCGCCTTTGCCTCGTCTCGCTCCTGGTTCCTCACCAACCCCAACATGAAGAGGGAGAAAGGTCAGCCTTGGATGCATGTCATTTTTCTAGTTTCTTTTTCTACGCTGTGTTGTGAGTGTGCCATGTCAAATGCAGCCCACTCCTAACTTGACATAACTGACTAAATGACCGGTACAAACATGATAAATGTCACCTGTGCAGAAATGAGCTCATGAGCATTGTCGTATTAGGCCATGCATCCAGCCCCCACATGTCCTATTTTGAAGTTCTGCTTTCAGAGATGTATACAAAAGAAAGGTCAGCAGATGAATAGACTGACCTGCTAAAGAAACGGAAATTTGAGTGCAGCTAAAGTTCAGCTGAATTACTAGTACTAGCCCTATAACTACAAATATGTTGTTCCTGCCCAGTATTTTGGCAAAGTCAACACATCTTTCCCAGATTCCAATATATACAACATCTTGACAAAAGTATAACTGTCTGCACTTTCTCCTTCCTTATTTTAATCAATGTTTTAACAACCATTTTAACTAGCAGATTATGTCTTATTTTCCGTCCCAATCGTAGATCAGACCAGGCAGTCTGTCGTCGACTCGCTGTACATCATCAGTTGCTATGGTAACATGGTGGAGCATGTCCTGGAGCCACGGCCAATTAGCACGGCTCAGAAGATTAGTGATGACACACCTCTGGAGCTCAGCACCTGTCCAAGGGCCTGCTGGACTCTAGCCAGGTAACAATTTGTCGACCACCTGATCCTTGAAAAAGTGCCTCTCATACGGTCTGCCTCATGGTTCATTTGTCTTTTGGAGCAGGACTCCACAATGGAATGAGCTGCAGCCTCCCTTCAATACCAACCACCCCTTGGTGTTGGCCTCAGACCTGGTGCAGTACTATCAGTATCTTCTGGCTGGTAAGCGGCACAAAAATCTTCCTTTATGTGCTCATTGGTTTCCATAAACAAGGCTTTTCATATGATCAAGTTCTGTTTTTATAGGATGCAAAGTAACATTTCAGGAATATATATGTTTACGTATAAATACATAAGTCAGGCCAATACAAATCAATGCATGAGTGATGTGTTCGAAAATTGATTTGTATTCCGCATTACAACACTGTTAAAGCACCTACTCTAAACTGCACAAGTGATCTTTGAGCATGTGACAGAAATATAATCCTGTTAAAAGAAATACACAGGCTCAGGGCAGTTTTACAAGCCAAGCTTAAAAAATAATAAAAATGACAGCAGCATGGCAGGCAGCAGTGTACATTGCATCCCTGGGAACCAGACAAATCTATAACCTTGTGTTCCATTTGTCACTTATTTTTGGTCTCCCTCAGGCTGAGGCTCTGGAATGTTCTGTTTAAACCGATATCATGTAGCCTGACATGGCCAGAAGGTCAGAATACCATCACAAAGTCTGCCACAGTTTTCACTGAGACATTGGTACATTTTATTAGGATTGTATCTGAATTTCCTTCAATATTTAAAGAAGTATGGACAACACAGATATACTTTTGGGATACATTTGATTATTATTCATTTATTATTTATTATTTATTTAGCTAAATATTCTTAGGTTTTTTGATTATCCCTTTTCTTTTGTGCTCAATTCTGCACTCATCAATTGTTATTACGAAAATGCTATGCTAATTGATCAACTTTATCAATTTAGCTTATTAACCTAACCCACTATTGTTAAATTAACTAGTCAAAGTACTATAAGTAGCATTATTTTCAAACAAAAAAATGAATACCATGGCATTGATGCTATTGGTATATTAGCCTGTGCTGCATGAACTATGTTGTTTATGTACCTATCATCAAAAATCTCTAACATGTAGGTCTGTGTATGTTTTGCTTGCACAGGCTAACGCAGCCATGTTCTCTCCTCTATGTTCCGTACGCAGCATTAGTCAAGGGGGTGACCCTTATTCCCCGCTGATTATCCATGTTGGCTGTGTTGAAAGCCAGTCCACCGCCTCTTATTGGAGCCACATGCTGAGAAGAGACTTCTCCAGTCAGCAGCCATAACATGTCCTGTCTCAATAACTTTGGTGAAGGATACTTCCACCATTTCTACCCTTTCATATGTTCTGAGCCCTGCCAGAAGTCATTGCTGTTCTTCTGTTTGGTCCTTCACCTTGAATCCTTCATTTGCCGCCCACGCTACATGCCGCCTTCGGGGCAGGGTCGCACAATGTCTTTGAGATGCCGTCCTCAAAACCAATTAGCTGACACCCTAAACTCTCTAATTCAATAACAAGTACAGAGCACTTTAGGTTGCCTTCTGAAAGGCCAATTCGCAAAAGCAAAGAGTGCACACGGATGGCCACACACGGAATCAATCCACCCCCTGGAACAGGCCGGCGTTTTGAGCTCGCTCCATAATTATAAACACACAAAATCTGTAATTATCTCATTCGGCTGCTGCAGGGCAAGTGGTAGCTGTGTTTACCCTAATCTCTGTACTCGTCTCCGTTGACCACTACAGTGCTCCAGGTCTGACTGGTAGGATATTTTCTCAAATTAGTGCTAATGGTCCCTCCTAGTGTCAGCGCGATAAGGACACGTTAGAGTGAGGGGCATGCGCGTCAGCTTATTCCACCATTCTCTCTGCCAGCCTGGGCAATGGAAGTGGCTGCATAATGAGAGAGATTCATGGCATTAACATTTACATCCAATTAACAATAGCCAGATAACACTGCCGGGTCTCTTCATTCCCCAAACCAGCCAAGTGTGAACCAATGGGAGGTCACGACGCCATAAGCATAATTGTTCAGCTCTCTACCCACTTCCTGTGCTCCTGCCATTTTCCCTCGGGGCCGGCGTCCCGGACACCAACAACACCGGCCGAGATGCTCTTGGAGTGCAACCTTCCACTTCTGCGCCTTTCAACCGGAGCACAAACTCTCCACATCCTCGTTCTCAGCATGAGTCCCCTTGCCAGCGCTTTCTCTGCTGCCGCGTCCTCCAGGGCTTGGCAGCGCGACAGAGAAGTGATCCAGGAGAAAAAGTCAATTTGACCGTAGGATAAATTACAGCACAGCCATGCGCCCCTTGTCGAATTGCCTCTCGCTGAGCGTCTGCATCATGCCGCTGCGGATTAAACTAGAAAGACGCATAGTTTTTTGCAGAACAAATCTAGGTCTGATTTACATTGCACTTTAAAACAATCACAAGAGAGAACAAGTAGCGAGAAAGGAAATATGACCAGAAGATAACAGCAATGGGGCGCACTGTGAGCTCACCAAGTAGAGCAGGCATCCCATGCACTAAGGTAACAAGGCTGAATGTTGTCACCCACCTCTCTGCTCTCCTGACTGGAAAAGTCAAAGAATGAGGGTAAGAGATTAATATCCCCCACAGCTAATTGTCTAACGAACGGATACTGTTCATAAAAAGGTGACACAAGGCAAAGAGGTGCCAGCGCTTGATTGGCAGGCCATGGTTTCTGGTCTCGTGGCTCTATATTGGATGACCCATGCTGATTAAAAATGCAGTATGCAGGGAAAGGAATAGGAAAGGGAGAGGAAGGGCCGGGGTCAGGCCAGACCGGAGCCTCCAGGACGGGATGATAAAAGGCAGCAGTGGCGCCACTTCATGGTCACTATCTCCACCTGTCCATCTGTAGTAGCTACTGGCAGCACTCAGCCTTGCAGAGGACAGCAACTTGCAGCACTGGCCCGGAGAGATAAGGGAGAAGGAGGCACACGTTATACAGTATACTCTCAAAATAGAGGAGATGTAGTCGTGTGATCTGGCTGAATAAAAGCGGTCTGGAGCCAAGATTTTAGTGTTTTGGGAATCCTCTATCTATAGCCAAGGTGGAATAACAGGATTCCTGTCTGCGTCTCCAAAAGTACTCATTTGTCTATTTGGCAAGTGTTTGAATGGCTTTTCTTTTTGGCCAGAGGTGTTAGACCTGCGTAATAACAGAACGACTTCTCCAATCCCTATCATAACAGAAGCTATACTTTGATGAATGTGAGGTTTTCACACTCCCATTAGCTACATTTAGCCTTTTTATTCAGAGTGAGTTTTTTCTGCGTGATATTTACCTAACTGCCCGCAGTATGTTTTCCAACACCTCTTTTCCTGGCCGCAGAGTTGCTCTGAAGCAAACAAACCGGTGAATAATTTACCACCTGGATATCTTGCTGGCTCCTTTGAGTCAGGCAAGGACGGCAGCAATAGAGGCTGTGCTTTTTGGCCCCCGCCCTCCCCTCTCTACCCGTCATATAATGTGCTAATTGTGGAGACTGAGTGACTCCCTGGCACTGTCACTCTCTTGGGACTTTGAGCCCCATGACAGGCCGCCCACAGTAGCCCCGTCAATAGATCTAATTGCTCCGACCGAGAGGGCCAGAGTGAAGGCCTTGGAGCATCAGGCGTTTGGTAAAGAGAAACCATGGCGCCATGACTGGGTCAGTAATCAAAGAGAGGCAGAGAAAGGATGGGGTAAGTGTAGCACTGGCTGAATGAAGGAACTGTCAGTCAAATACGCCTTGAATGATATATAATGACTAAGCTATCTCATTCTGTCAGTGTGCCAGCACCTATCTGTCAGAGTACTACTCAAAAGAGGAAAGCGAGAGGAGAGGAAAGTGGGAAGGGGGACAGGTGGACCAGTCGAGAGGGAGCCCTGCAAGCAAAATCTCTGGCAGCTAAGTGTGGCGGGTCAGTAGAGAAGTAGATGATGTAGAGAAGGTAAAAATAGAAGACGAACTAAATGAAACTTAAAGAAAAACCAATGAGAGAGATCAAGGTGAACAGAGCGGAGGCCCAGACAAGCCGGCTATTCTCTGTCCACCGTGAGGCCGGCTCTCCAGATCTATCAGATTGTTAGCACCTTATCTAACTCTGGAGATCAGCCCGTTCGGCCTCTGGCCCCATGAGGTCGGCTACATCAATACCCGGGCAGCCTTTCTTCTTGTTCTGACTCCTGCTTCATGTAAGACTTCAATAAAGACTGTGGCATAGACAAAGCTTTTAATCAACGGGGCTGTTAAAATAGATACAGACCAAAACAATTCAAACCTGAGGTTATGAAGAGCATTTCTTTTCCTGAAAACAAAGTTTGCATCACCCGGTAACAGGGAAAGTCTCTCGCGCACAAAAATAAAGTGTTCATCTAATAAGAATTACCAGCACTAGTATATTATTTACCAATCATGCAGTGCTAATTCGGTGTTACTTTTGGAACTCTACGATTATTTTTATTTGTCAAAATATGTGGTGCACCATCAAACTGTGCATCCAGAGTCCCTTTCTTGATTGCAGTGCAATAAGTTTGCACTTACAAAATGCTGTCCGTAAAATGACATCGACGTTGTGTCTCTTAAGAGCCAGTAATTGTAAAAGCAGCTCTCCGGACACGCCGATGTGGCTGTAACCGCTGGGGTCAGTCTGGCTCCTGACGTGCACAAAGACACACACACTCACTCGCACACAGAGAAAAGAAAGGTTGTGTCTTCTCTTGACCCGTAGGGATGACCAATAGCTCCCCACACTGGAGCCGGGCTATGACCATTGACAGCCCCCCCCCCCCCCCCACTGGAAACCTGATATGCAGCCAGTCCACCAACTGCTTCAGAACATCAATAATTAATTAGGGGGGGAGAGGGGTGAGAGAGGGGAGAAGGAGAGAGAGAGAACATTAACATGGTTCTCGACACAGTAATTGTTTCTTGGTATATTCTGGTAATATTGTTGACCGTCTCTGAAGTGGAAATGTGAGTAATCAGTAACTCTGTCCGACAAGATTTGTCTGGCATAGGACACAACACAGGCTTTGTTTTTCTCTTCCATTCTAAAATGACACGAGGACCCTTATGAATTCACAATTTCAAGAAAAGAAATAAAAGCACACCAGGCTTTCCGGAGAATTAATCCCTGTGAGAATTATCTGTTGATCTTTAAATTACATTTTCTTCAGTGCCGTGAAGACCTCAAACTTGTTTCCGTTTTCCTCTTTCATTTATTATTTTGGAGTGGAGGCAGAAATAGGACAGACAAATTAAACCGATTAAGAACTAAAAATGGCTGGATACTCAGAGATATTGTCGGCCACAATATCTGAACTTTGCCACGGATGTTCTGAGCATCCTATTTAAATTGTATGCTTAATCCTGGAGGTTCAAGTTTCGCGAGCTTGCTCAAGACAGATTTTTGCTCGGAAGTGTTTGATTTGCGCTCTGGGATTTTAACATCGACATCTATTTCTCTTAGTTTCAGAGGGATTTTCTCTTTGTATGCTCAGCTCAGACCTCCTACTTTATTAGGAGGTGGTTGCTGGTGTGACAAAGTGTCAAACACCAGACTAGCTTATGAACACCTGCCACGTGTGTGTGTGTGTGTGTACAAAGACAGAAGCACCTCCTGTGCTCCAGATGTGGACTCGACAAGTTTATTAGCCATTCCTGTGTTAAACAAACCCCATCCCAGAGACAGAGAAAGGACTGATTCTGACATTAGGCCTCATTCTCCGCGCCTGCTTATTCAAGCCTGCAGGAGCCCCATCTGTCTCTGGGTTTCTCTTGTTATAACACACATACACCACACAGTTTCTCTCTCACACACTCTATTGTACACTTTGACACGCTTTCACGCACCCATATTCCCATATGAGAGAAATAAATAAATGGGATTTTTCCATATTGTTTATATTTCAGCATAAAATAGTAGCTTGGACTGACTTCAGCTTACATATATTAGTATTGGCTGTCAGTCAAACCCATATGACTCTAACACACTTTGGTGAGCTAGTTGTCAGTAATGATTTTCCTTCACAGGCTAATTTATGTAAATAGTCAATGACAATACAAGATTCCCTACTTTAATGTCATATCATAATTTATGTCATAATTGTCATGTCAACATTTAACCGCGTGTGTGTTTGTTTCCTCAGCGATGCCCCCTGGAAGTCCAGGCCCGATCACCCGTCACGAGTCGTCGGACAGCCTGGCGTCGGACCACAGTGGTCAGGGAGATGAGGAGTGGCTCTCTCAGGTTAGACCCCTTAACTCAAAGAATCTCATCTGTAGTGGATTCTGTAACCCTTGCCAGACTGTCAGGATACTTTCTATTGCTCCTCTGTATAAGTTGATTTATTTGTTTACCTACGTCATCCAACTGGTACCTCCACAAAGTGTTATCCTTGTAAACAATTATTTATTAGGGTCCGGCACTTACCCAAAGAGTAGTGTGGTGGGCTGAGTACATCGGTAGATTTGGGGATAATAAGCTCCCTAAACTTTGGTTATTGACTCAAGAGAACACTTGCAATAGGCTTGTTGCTCTAAATAACCAAACCAAATAACAGTTTTTGTCCCCTTGGACTGGAGAAGTACCATGCTCTAGTTCAGAGGAAATGTTTGGTGTTTAATTTAAACTTAAAGCTTCACCAATTCACATCTTACATACATGTCAAAAAGCATATTAGAACTAGTAATTTTCAGTGACCATCATCACCCTCAGTGCTGAGCATCTTACGCTCTTCTTTATTAGTGCAGTGTTTTGGCCTCAACTCCTCTTTCACTAGAGCCTTTTCAAACTTTAGAAGAGGCTGTTTGTGGGAAAGGTTCTGATGAACCCAGTGGAAACTATCGTCCCAAGACTAAACAGCAGGCAGACAAACTAAGAGATGAGTTGGTGAACATAGTGGAGCATTACGCAGATATACAGCAGATATAGCACTTGTGCATTGAGAATTTCCCTCAGAAGCTGGTAGAAACCAAAAGGGAAACAAAAAGAAAGGGAATATTTTGTCAGGGCTGCGGGTGGAAGGCAGGACTCAAATGCAGACTTGCAGGAAACAAAAGGACTTTAATAGTCAAAGGGCAAAAACACAGGAACCGTGGCAAAAATACAGGCAGGGACCAAGAAACATCCACGACGAAAGACAATGACGCGACAAGTGACACAAGAGACACACACGGCTTAAATACACAAGGGAGGTGCAGGTGATTGGACACAGGTGGAAACTATTAGACGATCACAGGGGATGACGGGACAAGGCAGGAAGTGAAGTTACCCGGGGACACGAGTGGCAGAAAACTACAAAATACAACAGGAAGTGAACCACACCGTGACATATTTGTGCAAATTAATGCTTACTCTGTTTCAGCACCTTTATTACGTTGGCCAAACTTCATTCAGTATTTGTCAATTTAGAAGACATTATCTTGTTTGAATTTTACAAAATGTTCAGAATTAGCACTTGTAAAAGCTACATTTTCCCCACATGGATTCTGTCTTCAATTCATTCAACTTTTACAGGATCTTGGATTTGGTATTTGAAATGTAATTCTTTGAACCCATAAATATTTACTCGTCTTGCTCATTTTAAGTACACACTTTGTGGCGTCTTCCTCATCAAAAAAGGCATCTTTTATTGTGCTGAAATGTTTGGGCCATGTTAAAAAGATCCAGAGCGCACACCTTGGTCTTTTCAGCTTGGTTAACCCTCAAAGCACTCATCTCTGGTGTTGGCAGGTAACCCACTACATTTTCACCATCAATAATTCCACTGCATGCATAATTGATTGGTTCAAATGCACCCCACTTACCCCGCAGAGGCCCTTGTCCATATCAGCCATGATAGCTTGCCAGGAGCAAAACTATCCATTGCAGTAACCTAGATTTTTGGCCACTTCCTGTCAGAGTAAAGGTAGTAATGTGTTCCTCGTTGGTTGGAGATGTAACAGTACAGCTCTGTGTACCTTAGCAAGATGGTGTGCCACCAGCTTTTGGGAAACATTTTAGACTATCAATGGCTTTGAGATAAAAGTACAGTAATAGTAAAAGGTTTATAGATCAGGCAGGAAGGGCAGTTTTCCAATCCTTCCTAATACTTCGGAAAGGTTAGGACATACGTATCTAGTACAGGGGAGGTTGGTGGATTGTGAAACGCTAAATACATATATGCTATGTTGAATTAGAGTCTGAGTACTGCCTTGTGGATTTCATTATATCATATCAGTGGCCTTCATTAGATTATCAGTAGGCATTTTGGCGTTGAGTTGGAATTTAGGATTAATCGGCTCTCCGCTAATGAAATGTGAGTTTTCCTCCATGTCAGTGCTCCAGCTTGGGGACATTGTGCCATTTGCTGCCATTCATTGTCAGTTGATCTTCTGCTGACTGACTGGACAACCAAACCTGCTGTGTCCAGTGCAGCAATTTATGATTTCTTATAACAATAGTTGGACTGCATAAATCACGGAATGTGTACTTTTTACTTAAAGTATTACAGCCCAATACAATTTCCCACAGCCCAACACCTTTAGGCCAGTTTTTGTGTGTGCTGTTTATTGTGATTTTTATTGTGGCTGTTGGTGTGACAATCAAGAATAGACACCTCCCCTTGGTCCCTGAGGCCTGGTTTTTGGCCGTTGCTCCAATGATGGCATGCCAATGATAAAAGTGTAATAATTCTGTAAGTACTTTGTCTATTTTGACAAAGTTTCTGTAGGATAAAGGGGAATCCTTGTGAGTGATATGATGTGAAATATCAGTATATATGTCACTGGTTAATAAATAAAGTAAGATCTTCGGCCTGAAGAAAAGTCGCTTAATCCATCTTAATTATTGGTTTTGATCCACTTCCGGATCCACAAAAGACCGTTTTAGGGGGGAAGAGGACGTGGTCCGACGATACATAGTTCAACCCAATTCCTTTTGAAGCATGCTGGGACCTTGGTAGTCATTAAAAACACCCATCAATGCGTGCACCTTTTCTTTTTGTATCCTTCAGGCCCACTGCATTGAAGGTCATACATAATCGGCAGTTGAATGTTTAAAAGGAAAGAATTGGGCAATTGCCCATTAGTTAACTTGATGTAACATGTTGCCCAGTCTAGAGAGGGTATAGGCATTACGGGGAAATATGTGGCAACATGTCATTGGCTCGGTGCGTCGAGATAGGAAGGGGGGGTTTAGGGTTGACACTGGACTGTAACATCTGGGTCCTCCATCCCACTGCTAAGTGAACCCACTGGCAGCTGTCTAGTTACGCGGCTGGGCGTGACATTAATGGTGTTAACTGGCAAAGCACACACACACACACACACACACACACACACACACACACTAAGTGACAATCCCCCTCTTCCTTCTGCGGCCAAATTTGCCCAGCTGTGACAGACCTCCTATATCTAAGCCTGTATATGCATAAATGTGTATAGAGCCAGAATAATTAACAGAGCTCTCACTCTTGTCTGAGATGTTAGCACCTGTTTGCCAGAGATGAAGCAAAACTCTTAGCCGAGTTCAGGGGGGAGGTGAGAGACTAACACATACGAAGTAAAGATGTAATGAAATATGAACAGTGAGACACAATGTGGCGCATTGAGTGCTGCGGGGAGTTTAAAGTCTGATTTAGGATGGGAGAGTGAAGAATGTGAGGCAAGAGATGTTTGGTCAGTAAATGGAAAGAGGAGATGGAGTATGCAGCAGGAAGTACTACTCCAAAGTTTTGAGTCACCCACGGCGTATCCCTCTCTTATCCTACTTTCAGCCAGCATGAGTACCACTCAGCTTAGGCGCCCCTGGACCGCCTGCCATGCCAGCGCCGTCTTATTCTCCCAGTAGGCCTCACCTCAGCCTCGTGTGTCATGCCATTGCTAGTGTCACACTCCTATTAACCCTCTGGGAAGGCTTCCCATCATATCGCCACCACTCCCACCAAACACAAGACCCTGACGAGTTCTGACAACATCCTCAGACCTTTTAGTGGTGCAAGAGTACAGCAAGCTCTTCGTTGGGTGTCATGTTACTGAGTTCATGTGAGTACTGTATAGGGTGAGTATTGGTACATAGATTCACCCAAACCACCATGTCTAATCCACTGAGGGCGACTTCTCAGAATTACATCAAGGGCTTTATCCTTGACTAACTGCCAATGGATAAGCAAAGGACAATATGTTTAAGAGAGATACATACATTTTTTAGGTGAAAATATAGGTCAGTTTGTTCTTGCGTCCTCCAATAAATAGATGCACCAGGTGATTTGTTTACACATTGAGCAACCAGCATTGGAATCAGTTGAAAAAAGGACAGGCACATTCCAAAACTATTCATTGGGTGATTAGATGAACCTTGTGTCACAAACTCTTGCCGAAGCCAGTCCAGGGAAAGAGCAAAGATAGCTTGTGCCATTTTGCCTTTGTAGAAGAAGTACTTCACGAGACGCTCATTGGTCGTCACTTGCACATACATTTGTAATATGCGACCCTGCGATTCCTGCAAAATTTCATGATAACAACAAATGATTCTCTTATCTCCTCACTAATCTTTACCATCGTGTTCCCAGGTGGAAATTGTGACCCATACAGGGCCTCATCGGCGCCTCTGGATGGGCCCCCAATTCCAGTTTAAGACTCTTCACCCTTCAGGCCAGACCACAGTCATCTCCTCTTCTTCCTCAGTCCTTCAGTCCCAGGGTCCCAGTGATGTCCAACGGCCACTGCTGGACTTTGATACAGACGACCTGGACCTACACACACTGAGGTACTTTCGAACTATCAAAAGGAATCCACCCTCTAGTAAAAATGTTGGTTTGGAGGTGCATAGGCTTCAATCTTAATGTGCAAATCCACAAATGCATGAATTACGGCTTACCAGTAATTATCCTTACAGGAGCATGTATAATAATAATTTTCGTTAGTGTAAGCCTCACTAAAACAACAATCTCATAATCCATCGGCCGGGGGGCTTGAAGACAGATAGACCTTCAGGCCAAAGGGGCTACTGTAATGAGCATAAATACAAGCAAGACTTTCGTTTCCATTCACCGCCCATTGTTTACTATCCTATTTACATATTGAAATGTGATATTGCAGTTGAGAAGTAGCCAGTTTTAAAGCTAATTTTAAACCCCCAAAAAGCAAATTCATCGTCAGACTATACGTCCGAGACTGTATTTTGGCTAATACAATCTGCCTTTTTTGTACTCCGAGCCGACTGCATTTAACCAAAGCTGGATGTGACTTTAAAAACTAGACCACAATCAGAAACCTGAATGTTTTCAATGCAAAAATGAAAGTCCTAAGACAACTCCTCACATCATCTACTCATATACTGAATGTGTGCAGAATCCAGCCGGTACGTTCAGAACCAGTCAGCATGCCTGGCTCATCACGGCTGGTTGCAGATCGTCGAGGACAGTCCAACATCATGGACACAGGTTCAGGTAGGACTCTTGTTTGCATCTCTCTAGTGTATTTGAGTACAACCTCAATATATTGTTTCCTCAAATGCATCCTTCTCCTACCTGTTTCAATTAGATATAGTTCATTCTACTCCACCTACATCACCGTAGTCTTTCATTGTTTGGGGTTAGAGTTTCCCATTAATCCCAACGTGGAGCCCTCTATGTTGTTTATGTTTGACTCATGTTTAGGTTTATCTACATAGCAGGTAGCGGTTTATACCATTACTCTCCTACTTGGCGTCTACACTTTCTGTCGGCCTCTTGCAACCAGAGTGATTGGCAACTAGAACGTTAACAATAATGTTTGATGAGGCAATGGAATAGAAAACTATATGTGTCTTACCTGAGTTGATTAAATGTATCGGACCCTGATTACAGCAGTACCTTCTGCAGTAACATACCTGCTTTATATCTTACAACCTTCTCCGTTTGGAATGATTTAAGTTAATGTGGGAAAAGGATGCAAACGGTGTGACATTGCTAAGACATCGGAAAACAAAATGTTGACTGCGTGAAATATTACACAAGATCACCCACTTTCTACCAAATGCTTTGGCAGCTGAGAGCTCGTTGAGGGATTTGTTGTATGACTTGTTTCCTGGTTGTAGCTAAAGAAAGTATGTAAAATAGTTCAGGAACTACATTTTTGCTTCTCAACAGTTTACCTTATCATTCACTGTATTTATTCCATCTTCTTGCCTTGTATAATGCTTATATCTTCTCAACATCATGTCTATATAGACCGACTATTGGGACTAATCTGTGTCTGAGGATTTCTTTTATTTTGTGTCCTTTTGCGATGTGTCAAGTGAAAGGTTGTTAAAATGTAAGCTGGAATCCCCTTCTTTTAGACATTCATATAGCAATTCCAAAATGATTGTTTGTATGAGAAATTAATTATTACTAATTTAGACATTCATATCTTGAGCATATTACTGCCTACTTTCACTACTGTTGACAACCTAAATATATGGTAAAGAAGTAAGAAGTCTGTTTTTTAGCCATTTAGCAGTTTTGCCTCGTCCCACATGTGTTGCATCCCCGTAGTTTCCCTATTGTAGTGTGCTCCGTGCCCGTATTCTGTAATTAGATAGACAATTGTGATTGTTTGAATAGGCCTGTACAGTCTATCAGCCATCGCATACGATTGATTTAGTTTCAAGTGATTTTGATGTCCCCCTACATGTCTCCTTTAATCTGGTTACGATGTTAGGCTAATCCAATCACACACAGATGAGAGGATTTCCCCTTCAAAATATGTCTTTTACTCTCAAAGTATAATGCTGTTACATGGGTCTTGTGAGCGTGCGTGGTTGTAAGTGATTGTGTGTGTGTGTGTGTGGATTATTCCTGGAATTTACTGCCAGTGTGGGTGAGGGAGCCATCACTTATTGCGTGACATTATATCCTGTTGCATTGTGTGATAGAAGAGATATAGGAGCGAGTGTGGCGTCTGTGGCATTATCTGCTGTGTCTTGGTAAGAAGACTTCATTCATCTGATCCGCCCTCACACCGACACATAGGCACTCCTGGCTTTTTTCAGTCGGGTGTCAACAAATATTCACAGACTTTGTCGGAAAAAAGCTGTGTGACAAATAGTTTTCTGAAAGGATGTTTTTCTTTTCCAACTCTTATCAACGTGCCAACGTGCCTTCTAGAAAACAAGTGTATCACATGAATTTAAATATGGTTTTACCATTTGGATTGGAAGCTGTGATGTTCTGAATGCAGAGAAGATGCACAACTGGATCACTACACTAAATATAGGCTGTATAAATTGTTAGCTAGCTTACCAACATCCATTGACAGTACAATAGGCCTGCCCCGTTTGTACACGCCATTGTCAGTTTTTTTGACTGTGTCATAAAACCTGCATCCATTTGATCATGAATGTATTTTTGGAGATATCTTGGTTGGTATGATTGAGGTAGTAATAAGACAATTGATCATAAAGCCCTCTGAGGCAAATTTGTAATTTGCGATCTTGGGCTATACAAAATAAAATGAATTGAATCATGGACTAGTTTTTCAAATTGAAAAATTATGAATTTTTTTGTGTTTCACTATTTTCAGTAAATAAATATATCATTAGTTATTCAAAGGCAAATGTAAATGTAGAGCAGTGGAAACAATATGTTAGATGTTTGCTACAACTCTTACCAATTGAACAATATCATGACCCTTTTTTCTTCTTCTACACGGCTTGAGACGGGGGGACTGTGTATCCACAGTCTCCCCGTCTCAAGCTGTGTCCTCTATGTCTTCAGTTGAGAGCAGAGAGAGGCAGGAGGACACAGAGCCGGGTCGGAGGCATGGAGTTGATGCTTATCTGTGTGTGTGTGTGTGTGTGTGTGCGTGTGTGTGTGTGTGCGTGAGCACGCGTAAGGAGGGTTCATTGTTGTGTCCACGCCACTGCCATGGCGCCGCCTCTTATCACACAAAGATCACTTTTGTCTCACACTGTCAGGTACACCCCCCTGTGTATTGCAGAACTTTCAGAAATGACTTTAAAGTTGTTTCCCTTTTTTGAAAGATACTCTTTTAAATTAGAAGGAGTGTGAAACAGATAAAAGGTAAGGTATGTTCATGCACTTACAGTTCTGCTCAGATAATGAACTTAACTGGAACAAAGTTATTCATTTGGGTTGGACACATTTCTGAGTTGTACGCCTTAATGTTTAACTGAAAATTGATTCTTTGTTGTACGTAAAGCCATTAGAGAATGATATTTACTTCTTTCAAATTCATTCATTTGTATGTCAGTACAGTGTAACGACTCACTTCCCAATATTCAAGGACAAAGCTGACAGTTGGATTTTAGGAATCACTGCACTGTATCAGTCTGGTGGTTTGTCTCATGTCTGCTTTCACACGTGATCATTTATATGTGACATGTATATACATCTTGACAAGAAAGAGCAAGTCACATGGAAAACCTCAATCTCAAGTGTGCAGTATCTGTAAAAGGCTCACTCTATAATCTAATTTCTTTAATGTTTTGCTAAATCCATGGTTTGATCCAACTTGTGAAATGCGTTTAACATGTGAGGAATGAGCTCTAAGAGACCACGCTATACTGCAGCCACACTCTGCTAATAAAGTGTGGCCTGCTCGTGTGTTCCAGTAAACGTGTTGCCTTCAGGCTCCTCGGGCCCACAGAAGCCATAAAGCTGCAGTCTTCCCTAGAGTGACTCACTTACAGTCAGTCAGTCTCCCCGGTGTCTGCTCCCATCTTATCTCAACCCATACACTCTGCTTATCTCTGCCTTCCCCGAGGTGATGGGACGCCATCTGCATGGAACACAAACACACACATACACACACACAATGTGTGCTGTACAGTGCTTCCAGTCATGGCCTTTTGACTCAGCATATCTGTCTGAATGGAGGGGGCCGAGGAGCCCCACACCAATGCTATTGTCTCACTTTTTACCAGCTACAATATACAGGATCAATGCGTCAATACCCCCCCCCCCCCCCCCCTATCTGCACCCCAAGCCTGCGTTGGGGTATGTGTGTGTCTTGTGTGTGTCTTTGTGTGGGTAGAGGTGGGTTCAGTCCTAGCTAAACTACACAATGGCATTTTGTGGGCCTGGACGTCATATCTGGAGAGAAAGAAAAGGAGACAGACCTGAAAGAGAGATAACACTGCAGGACTGGAAGAAAGAAAGAATATTTAATCCCCGCTTGCGTGAATGCCTGTGTGTGCACTGATAAAAGCTGCGGGCCCCCCTCTACACTACTGGAGATGTGGTTTGTTTTAAGAGAGAGCCCTCTACACACGGGGAAACCACCACGTCTCTTTTTCTGCGCCACGGCAATTCCTTTTTTGGTCGTGTTCATCTCCGGTTGGTGTTGGGGCATTAGCGCCCCTTTTTTGGCCGCCACATCTCCCTGTTTCCTCCCCTTTCTACTTTTTTTTTGGCGGGGGGGGGGGGGGGGGGGGGTTTATCTGTGGCGGTGAATCAGTGATAGTGTGTTAGCTGGCGGCAGAGCAGAGCAGGATGACATGCAGCTGGCTTATCACAACAAAGCCGAAGACACTTTAGGGAGCTACTGGACTTTGCCACTGGTCTGTGTGTGTGTGTGTGTGTGTGTGTGTGTGTGTGTTGGGGTTGAACAAATCAATCAGATGTCTCCTGGTTGACATGTTTGACCAGCATAGAATAGGAATCGTTGAACTGAGGCCTTTAGTTTAGTGAGGCCTACTCAGTTGAACCACAAAGTGTGTATCTGGCCTGCCGTGCTGCGCGAGTACAGATGTGTGTGTGTGTGTACTGTATGGTTGCCCTTGTGACTTCATTCTAGTATGTGTCATTCCATTAGCAGCATCCTGTACAACACTGAGTTAATCAGTGTGGGATCTGCAGCTATCAGCCATTAGCCACATCCACCCCATAGTATCACAACTCACTTCCCTCCACTCTCTCTTTGACGGTTTATGTATATTTGTGATTTTCACAGAGAAACATATTTAGCTCTCGTTTACTGCACCGATTGCTAAATGTATATTTTGAAACAGTGGGCTTAATGTGTGGTTATTGAGCCTCTCTGGGGCTGTTGCATGGCTGAATCAATTAATCTCATTTTAAACCAAGAAGTGCCCCTAAGAAAATCATCACATCCACCCTCAGTTACTCAATACTCATATATCTGTAAAACAGGCCTATGGCCTTTCCAGTGCGCCCCCACCCTATTCTACATAATTGTGCTACTACCTAAGTTCTTAATTACACTAATAATGAGCAGCACTCAGGGAAGTTATAGTCTCTAACCCCTTTCCCCCCACGTATTATCAACATTTGATTTGATTTGATTAATAATATTGGTGCTAATGTGATTCTCCAAAAGCTCCCAATAAATCTATTGTTGTTCCATCTGCACCTCATTCAAGATATTGTTGGAGAGATCCCTTGATGGAAGTGAGAAGTCTCTGGAAATACAAATGTCATCATTCATGAACCTTGAAGTTTAATGC